TTTTTTAAAAAAGCCTCTGATGATCGCACGGCTCAGGTGGGATCTCAGAGGCTTCTAAAAGCATTTTTTTCTGCAACCTCTTCAGCCGAAGAGGTTGTAGGGAAAAAAAATCCCTTTAAAAGCCTCTGGCGATCCCAGCTGACTTGCCTGATCGTCAGAAGCTTCTAAAAGCATTTTTTTCTGCAACCTCTTAAGATTGTAGAAAAAATGCTTTTTAAAGTAAAAATAAAAAGTTGGCCATACCCACCCAGTCACATTACCTCCCCATAAGCCACGCCCACAAAATAAGCCATGCCCACAGAACCGGTAGTAAAAAAATTTGAGCTGCATGGGTATTGTATACATGCATCATGCTTTGTATTATTGTATATAAAGAAGTTTCTTCTATAAATGAATCCTGCTTGAATTATTTGCTTGTGTGCTGGTTGGATTGCTGCAAACTCTAACTCCCCTTAAATAATAAATATTGCAGTACATTATATCCTTACAGAAGGAGAGAATCTGTACTCTTTCAATAACATATTTTTTAAAAAAACTCAGAAAAATAAACACAATAGGTTATTACATTCCTGAAATATGTTTATTGATGGGACATCTGCAGGATGGGTTTGGGTTATTCAATCATTAAGGTAATTGAAAAAAAATGATTTTATTTCTCTGCTATGCCCATTTAAGTTTTGTTTTAACTGGACTACAGTCATGTTTTAATCTTGTTAGCTGCCCATAGTCTTATAAAAGTGGACATTTATTTTAAAAATGACACTATAAATAAATGAATTATAAATATCAATTTTTCTCCTCTACCTCCACCTTTTAGCGAACAGCATATTTAAACAGATGTTTGCTGTTACAACATTATACTGTTCCCTTTACTAATTCTTATCAACACTACTCAGAAAGCAAGTCAACCTTGATAATTGAGAAAAGAAAAAAGAATAAAAATGATTCCAGGGCAGAAATAAGCATAATCTGTAAATTCAATACACTCTATCAAAAAGGAAAAGCCTTGGATATCTGTTTGGCAATAATGATGGAACCTGATAGCAATAATTTTCTTAATATGTGGGGAGATATTAGGAGATGAAGATTTGTGCGGAGATATTAGGAGAAAGAGATTTGAAATGTTTCATGCCATAGACATACTACACAACTGAAAACAAGTGGGAGGTACATATAGTGTGGAGCGGTATTGTACCTATTCAAGTAGGAGAGGATTTTCTCATATACATTGGCAGCTATTTTGATCACAAAAATGTGATAGTAATCATGTGAGTACTTAAAATAGTATGAGTAAATTATGTGCTCAAAAGGCGTCCATGAGCAGTAGCATCATTAGATAGATTTACATTTTCCTAAAATACTGTTGCAAGCTGGGCCGCATGACAATCCACAGTTAAGTGGATACACAGCTGGCTCAGAAATTGTACTCACAGAGTGCTCCTCAATGGTCCTCCATCAAATCAGAGAGAAATATTGAGAGGGATCCTTTATTCCTCTCTATTTTTGTTTATGATTTAGATAAAGAAGTGGAAGAATACTTAACCGAATTTGCAAAGACGGATAATGAAGGTGCCAAGATAAGTATGATATGTTACAGCAGTGTTTCGTAAACTTGACAACCTTAAGATGTGTGGACTTCGACTCCCAGAATTCTCCAGACAGCAAACCTGGCTGGGAAATATTGGAATTTGAAGTCCATGCATGTTAAATTTGGGAAGGTTGAGAAATATTGGGTTAGACAAATGGACTGAAGCAGTGGTGAAATCCTCCGCAGATTGCCACCGGTTCACTGCCCGTGCATGTGTGGTGCATGCCAAATGTGCGCTGCATGCATGCATACACAGTGCGTGCCAAAAGCATGCTCTACACGCGCACATGCGCAGTTTTGAGTTCTAAGGACATAGTGCTTATAAGCAGGATCCTGAATAACGGGAAGTGAGCTTCCTATAATCTTCTCAGCTGTCCTTACCACTCTCTGTATGGACTTTCTATCTGATTTAAATGTAAAATTAAATGTTATTAATGATCTCGGTGCTATGGTAGAACTAAAAACACATGCCCAAGGATTTTTCAGCCCATTCTCATAATGCTAAATCAAGATTTAACATTATTTCTTAATGAAATGAAGGGAAAAAAGTACATTGGTTCAACAGGACAAATCCCCAATCTTTGTGACCAAAAAGGAATGTAGAGATAATCTTGAAATTGCCAAGATCAACAAAATGATCTAAAGTGCATTGATGTTACTAAGAGAATTCTGTGACAATTGGCCTGAAATAATAATTATGCAAGCTAAGTAGTTCTCCCACTTTTCATCATTTGCTTTTCGGTTTTATTCAAAGGTATTTAAAATTCTCGGGATTTGGGAGAGCAGGTTCATTTAAAAGGAAGCAACAGCAAACATGCATCCTATGATTCTCTTACTTTTTTCTCCTTATCAAAAGTTTATGTTGGATATCTTCACACAGGGCTGCACCATGCAGTTTTATTGCAGTGTAATATGTCCTGCCATTGAGGGTTGTATCAATGTCTAACTATAATTTGAACAGTTTATTTTGAAGCCGAATTTGCAATTAAAGCCAAAGAGGCATTTTAAAGCCTCAGGAAAGGCATTTTGTAGGACAATTAAAAATATACTTTAACAAGAATTTTAGGAAAAACACAGACACTAAAAGCCAGCTTTGAAATTGCCAAGATCAACAAAGTCATCTAAAGTGCATTTCACCCTCTAATTAAAATCATTCAAAACCCATTATAATCAGTGTTTGTTGAAGTATTTCATCCTTTACTAAGAATTCTGTTATGTTCTCTGCCCCTCCCCGCCAATACACACACTCCTTTTTGGAAGAGAGTCACCGAAATAATTTTCAAAATAGTTAATTATTTACATAAATAGTTTTAACGACTAGATATCTGAAAATGAAGGCATTATACATAATTCTCCATCATTAATTTTAAATATAGAATGTTTGAAAGCTTGGCTTTAAGCCTAAAATCCGCAACTGTTACTATTTAAATAAGATGTGCATGTGAATGAGGATGCATCAGAGTTATTTGGCATGGCTATTCTGTAATGCTTGTCTAGTAGCACTGATAGCATTAGTCACACCAATGTCATCAGAGTTGCAGAGAGGAACTGCACAGAACAGCAGATTTCATGTAAGTCAAAAACATATTATAGAGCTGAATCAATTATTAGGACTCTATGAAAATCAGATTTGTAGTTGTGATTTAATTTCCAAGTTGAATCCACTTTACAAATCAAATTGGGAAGATAAATCACAGAGCCGTACTTTAAAGCTTAAAATAAATGCGAACAGTTTGGATAATTTAAGAATGTGCAGATTTTTTAAAAAATTGAAAAAGTGAATTGGGCCATTTCAGTTCCAACATCCAAATCAAATTAGATTGATTTTATCAATTAGATTGATTTTATTCAAATCATCCAATCAGATTAATTTGGCAAATCCAATGATTTATACAAATCAACCTGATTCTCATCCACACATCCAACAATCACGTCATCTGCAGGATGTCATAATTAACATTATTTGTGATAATTTAACATGGAAACTGAGGAAAATAATAAGATTCCATGTTTTTCTTTTACTTTGATGATGTTCTTACTTTATAGGAGTAGTTTAAATTATTGTCTAATTAAAACCAAAAGTTTAAATTAAATCTGAAACTGTTGTTAAGTTTTATTGTCAATATTTCAAGTTTTCCATGATGCAATCAGAAGAATACAACATTAAGTCCATTGGAATATATTGCCATGTTATCCTGAGAAAACAAGGACATTCCTTGTGAGATTTTAACTGTTGTTATTTTGTGCTGAATGCTTAGGAATGTATTTGGGTGCAGATTTTTAAAAATGTGTTATTGGCTTATAAATAATAAAAGGATTTATTTTCATTTTGGGGAGTATTTTGAGGAACATAGCTATGAATGCTTGAAATTCATTGATAACATTATTTACTTTGCAGATAAAGTAGCAGATCTGTGTTCCCTTGTGACCCATACTTAAGAGAGGTCCAGATGATTTAAGATTGCTTGTGCAGAATAGATATTTTTCACTTTGATGAGGTGAATGTGCTAGACCCCTGTTCCTCTATACTTATAAAATAATGGAGGTTAGCTAAGTGGACATACACAGTGATAAATTTCTTCTTTAAAAGTCCACTGTAAAACAGATACTGAAGAGGACCATGAGTAACTCAGGCAAACTCAACACTTCCATATTGAGTAACTTCTAGTCTCAAATTTTCCTTCTGAAAAAAAAAATGCTAGAAGTGGGACCATAGATTTCCTGAATGAGATTTCCTGAAACTCTACATTTCCTGAATGAGATGAACCACTAAATTTATTAAAGTTTGGCTTCAACTATGATCCTGGATCAGCAGGAGGACAGCTTGACTGGACTGAATTTAAAACAAAAATTTTAAATAGAAATCTGGAATCCTTTTTGAAACTACAGGGATTATCTAGGAGGTCTCATTTTATTTGGCATATACATGAAATTATTAACATAGTTATCTGAAATTTGGGGTTCATGACTTTGTATGTTGATAATGTCTTTATTATGGTAATATAAAAATATGATTTTTTAAAATGTTCTTGTTCCTTACAGTTTTTATTTACCCATATAATCCATCAGGTCAAAAATAAGGAAATTCTGGTTAACAGGGAATCTCTCGCCTACATAGAGAACAAGAATAGTGTTGTTTCATCTGTTTTGTCTTTTATTAAATAGCAATAGCAATTAGACTTATATACCACTTTACAGTGCTCTACAGCCCTCTCTAAGCGGTTTACAGAGTCAGCATATTGCCCCTAACAATCTGGGTCCTCATTTTATCGGACTCGGAAAGATGGAAGGCTGAGTCAACCTTAAGCCTGGTGATATTTATTAACTGTTATAAAGTGTTCACTGCTATCCCATTCTATCTGTCTTGAAATGATATGCCATGATTCAAGCCATTTCTCTTTCCCCTGAATAGGATTAGAGAAGAAGTTAACATGCTACTTCTGCGGACTTGTCCTATGAAAGAGCTTGGAACTTTAGATGCTGCTGCAGCCAAGGTAATGAAGACATCCAGCTGATATGGTAAAACTTGCCTCTGAGTTGAGGGAAGAAGTGAAACGGCTGACTAGCCTTAAGTTACTCATAGGGAGAAAGTGGCTGAAGGGAGATTCTCCCTAAAACTTCATCGTGTTTATCCAGTAGTTATGTAGTGAGTGTTTTAGTTTGCTGAGATTCCTACTTATAGGTGAGCAACAATAAACATACCCAGCAATGGGTTTTGGATTATGCTACTACCAGTTCACCCCACGCGCACGCTTGCTTTGTGTGTGCGCACATGCCCAGTTTGTGCATGCACCTGCCTTCCACACATGCGCCCGGCCTTCCGCGTATGCACCCGGCCTCAAAAACATGCCTAAATAGGATGGCAAAGAGCTGGGGTGGGTGGGCGGGTGGGTGAGCCCACCCACAATTTCTGCTACCAGTTCAGGCGAACCAGCTGAATACCACCTCTGAACATACCACTCTGGTCATCTTTTTTCTGGTTCCTTGTATCTAACAGTTAGAGAGGACATACAATTCTCATGATACAACAGTTTTAGTGGCACCAGTTGTAAACTCAAAATACTGGCAATGTTTCAAACCATATACTTTCACTCTGTTTAAAGAGCACATTTTTCATCAGCTTTAAATTCCTTAGTAGGCTTTTTTTCTCTGTCTCTTCTGCATCAAAGGTGCATTTGAAATAACCACAACTGGCAGTCATCTTGGACTTAACTTCGATTAAAAAAAGCAGGATAGGAATTTAATTAATAAGCATGGATTTATATAGATGATTTATTATTTGAAATTTTAATGTTTTGTCCTAATAATAAAGCAATATCATTTCTATACCAAATCCAGAACTTCAAAGGGATATGGAAGTAATTGATTATTTCCCCACACGAAAAAGAAAGAAAATTATTTCTTTATATTTGCTCATAATACAGGAAAACCCTAATTTCAATTGTTATTTCAATGATGTTTTTAAATAACTGCTTTGGAGCAGAATTTGTTTTCATCCACGTCTTCCTTTTTCTTGACTTGGATGGGTGTTCTAGAATTTGACAATAAAAAACACTGGAAGATAGACAGAGCAATAAAGATTCTGTCAGGAACCTGATGGAACATTGCCAGAAAGAATAGCTGTGTTTCCCCTACCCCTCCTCACAAACAGTTTTCTGGCTTGTTTGAAGCAAGATATAAAGGAACAAGCTGATCAATTCCTTTGTGACAATTCCCCTTAATATTTCCAGAAGTCTTAAGAACCCTGTGTAAAATATTCTCCAAAATATAACCCCACTGTGGCTGTCAAATAACCATGTACTGTATTCATACATGAAAGTGCCTATCTTTAGAACCGTTACTTCTCACATTTTGAAAAAAGAAAAAAAATTTTAAAACCTACTGGTTATGAGCAGGGGAAAAAATTTGGCACTTTCATTTCCTTTTAATCCCCATGAAAGATTTTATCCCTACCTTAAATCTTAGAATATATAATCATCCTAGCCAGTTTAATTTACTTCTGTCATCATACATATTCATTTAAATGTTGTATCTGGATCGCTAAATCAAATAAAATATATGATTCATATAACACACAACCATATACTCTTTTGACTCCAAAGCAGCATAAGAACACTTATTTCCACACTTTTGAAAATAAAGCAACCAATTGATATTGTAACAGGGTAGTAGCACTGACAAAAGCAAAATTAAACATGCATCAATGGTAATCACTTTCATGAGAGTTTCACTGGTAGAATCATAATAGAAAATTATTCTAATTAATACATCAGGGCTGTTCATTCAATTGCTTAACGCAGTATCATTCTATTCATTCAACATTCCATGGAACAGAGGGAGATCAGATTAACTTTTTATCTTCTTGACAAATGAAGCCATGAGAAACTTTAGGACAGGACCAGGATGTTCTTGTCAATATAGTTACCATAACCAGCAATAACAATAATTTGTTTTATATTTCTTTTCCTTCCAGAAGCCAATGGACAAAAACAACCATAAAACCTTCTGCAATGAAAGCAGTTTAATACTTCCAATAAAGAAAACTATAGCTTCATCAATGTTGTGAACAGGAGTGGGATTCTACCAGTTTGGGCCAGTTCAGGCAAACTGGTAGCTCCGATGTTCAGCTGGGTGGGAACTGGTTCGCTCCAATGATCAGGTGGGCCCACCCACCTGCCTCTGCACTTTACTGACCTATATCCTCTCAGCTGATTCGCGCAGAGCAGATTGCTGCTCCTCAGCTGTGTTACTCCCCAGAAGTAACACGGAAGGTAAGTTTTTGTAAAACTGCACACGTGCACGCAGCGCACAACAGGCACATGCGCTTGGAGCGTTCATGCACGCACAAAGCACGCAATCACCGAACCAGAATCCCACCACCAGTTGTGACCATTCTTAATGTGTGAAGTTATCAAAAAGGCGATGTTATCCTGGAAGCATCACTGCAGATGCCTCTAGGTGGCTCAGTGGCCAAGACACTGAGCTTGTCGATCAGAAAAGTCGGCAGTTCGGCGGTTCGAATCCCTAGTACAGGTCTCCTACGTGAGCAGGGGGTTGGACTAGATGACTTCCAAGCAGGGGTGCGCAGAAGCATTTTGGTGATGTCAGGGTCAGTGGGCGGAGCCTCCTGCCGGATTTAATATCGGTGCAAACCGGGGGCAACCCACCACTGCCTCCAAGGTCCCTTCCAACTCTGTTACTGTTTAAAAAAACAGGCAGAACTTCACTTGTGATTTCAAACAAAGCACTGCAAGGGCAGGTAAAAAAAATAATTAAGATTACAGTCAAGAACATGTGATTGAAACCCCATCTCTAAGAATAAGATAATATAAAACAATTAATAAGATTCAACATCAATGGGAGCAAGTGAGCGTTACACTTATTTCCCCGCCCTCCCCCCCCCCCATTTGTTTCTTTGTTCCATCTACATTAGAGATGACGTTCACTAAGGGATGAAGAATATTCAGATCAGGCTTCCATGGAATATTCTTTGCATCTAACCCAGCACAGGCACGACACTAAAAAAAGAGAGATTGTATAAAACCAGGCAATCTTTACCAAACAAACAGTGTGCAGATCCTACATAACCATTGAATAGCTTCCAATTTTATTAGCCACCCAAGTCCATTGTAAAAACATCTTAATGCCATTGAATGTAATTGTCTTGCTTCTCATTGACCATCTAGGCTATAGGCTCACCTCCCTTTGATATCTAATTAGGAGAATGGGAGCTTCTGATGAGATTCTGTTTGCTAATGTGAAGGTTCCAGGAGTCAGAAGCAGAGGCTGTTAAGACGAGAACAAATTAAAGGGAACAATGAGTGGAGTGGTAGTGGCAAAGCTTACCTTTTAGCCATACATTTTGGAGAGTCAGATTATTTCCTGCAACTGTTCAGTGGTTTCTCTTACACCTGACGGGATGCAAAGAGCACATATGCAAATTGATCTCCCAGCTGCAAGGTAATTAACATGGTTGACTGCGGGAGGCAGTTCCTTCACCCAGTCTGCCTCATTATTATTGTAGTAATTTAACAATCCTCTCAATCGACAAGCTTTGAGTGAGGTTGAAATACAATTAACTTCCTGTTTTATGCAAACTCTCTTAAAATAAACTGTCATTTGTGAGTTCAAATTAAAGCGATGTTTGATATTATTTTTTTTTCCTCAATCTGGAAAAAAAAAGGTGCCTTGATTTCAGGATGGCGATTTTTTTTTCTTTTTAACTGCTGGATCCGTTCTCCTATAACACCAATAGTTAATTAATCTCCCTAATAAAGAGAATTGATCTTTATAAAAGAGGATCCTGAAATTAGCCTCTAGGCTTGGAATAGCAATCAAATCACAAGGCCACTCAAAAGATCCAATATTTTTGCGGTGGATTGAATATTAATACAAGGAGCTGCAGTTTCCTATGGTCAAAAGACCTGAGGTGTCCATGGAACACAAAGTTTTGTCAAAATGACCATGGAAATGGCAGTGGAGCATTGCAAGTTCTGTCCCTTTTGTATATGTGTTTAATGTCACAATGCATGTACAAAAAGAGTAGACCTTGAATCGTGATGGCACCGTTGGTAGGAAAAATTTTCCCAGCAATCTGCTTTTCCTTTCATTGTTGAAGAGGGAAAAGTGCATGAAAAGTAAATGAGTATGGCAAAAGAGCAGAATGAGAAAAAAATATTTTATCATGGGTTTATAGTGCAAAAGATAGTACAAAGAACTTGGGGAAAGAGAGCAAAAAATGGTTAAAACTAAAAGAGACAAAGAAAAGGCAAAGTGGTTTTCGTGAGGGGGGGGGAACAGTGGCTGAAAAGAGATGAGAATGCACCTCCAGCAAGTAAATGAAATTTAAAATAAAAAGAATGAGATGAGTGCTGATGAAACGGAAGAGAAGAAAAATTGTAGAGGATATTTGTGTGGGGATGACCGTATTATGTGAAAGAGTACATCAGATAAGATTGCTATAAAAGTCCAAAGAAAATAGATAGATAGAAAGGAAGTCTTGAATATAGGAATATAAGTATGCTGAAAAATAGTAAGGCATCAGCTTTAGGTAGTAGGAGAAATGTTTAAAGAGGGATGTTGTTCATTTAAAGAGTGGCTGCATGGCTTGTTGTGTGTGTGTTTGTGTGTGAAGGCTGTATTAATCTCTGATGAATTGGAAGAGTGCCATTAATGTTACTCTATACAAAAAGAAATGTAAAAAGGTAAATTAAAAAAAAAACCTATAGAGTATTCATTTGTTGACTGCTCTTGGAATATGTTGGTTAAGATATAAGAATATGTTTATTTATGCATGGTAACTATATGATGGAGATGTGATGGCTGAGCAATTAAGACCCTGGGTTTGTCAACCTTAAAGATTGGCAGTTTGAGATATAAGTACCATATGACAGAGTTGAGCTTCTGTTACTTGCTCCAGCTCCTACCACCCTAGCAGTTTGAAAACATGTAAACGTAAATAGATAAATAGGTACCACTTCAGTGGGAAGGTAACTGTGTCCCATGTGCTTTCAGTGTATAGTCATGATGGCTATATGACCACGGAAGTGTCTTGGGACAATGTTGGCTCTTCGGCTGTGCATCGGAGATGAGCACCACTCCCTAGAATTGAATATGACGGAGGAAACATTTATCTTTACCTAAGTATATGATAAGATGAATAAGCTTGGGTCTTGTGAATTATGGGTCATTATGCATTTATATGAAATTGAAGGTTGGCTTTTGAATACAATAAGGTTGTTCTATGATAGAAGCAGAGCATGTATGAGAAAGAATATAAAGAATACTTAGTGAATAGTTCAGTCAGGGATAAGATGTGAGATGTGTCATCGCTGAAAGTCTAATGAATGCTTAGGATGACATTAGATCTGGGTTGGCTACATGTGTGTCATGTTCTTGGCTGAGAACTCAAGATTGGCAGTGAATATTACACTGAAAAATTAATGCATCAATGAAAAAAAATTTTACTTGACAGAGAAAATTGAGTGAATGTATAGATATATGGTGAAAAAGAAGAGCTGGTAGATAAATGTTATATACCCTGGTAAAACAACTAAGATGCATGAATGTATGTCTCAAACTAAGACATTTGAATGTATGCAAAGGGTGGTAGAAAGTGGGTAGTATGTGGTTGGTTGTGAGCAATGAATGTTTGCTCAAAGAAGCAAAAAAGGCTATTTTTTTAAAGAATGTACTTGTGCTCAGTTTCTTTGATGGAAGTGATAATATAGCACTGTATGTCAGGAGAGATGTAAAAGTCAAGTTGAATGCAGTGGGGTTGGGAAATTTACAAGAACTAAATGAAAGCAGGTTGAAAATAACCAGTATGAAAGAGGGACATTGAGGAGGCTTGGTGATATGGAGGATCAAATTGCAAATAAAAAATGTGATGGAAAATTTTAGGGGTGAGAAGACAGAAAACCCAGGTTAGCTTGAGTTCAACTCAAAAAAAGACAAAGGTGAGAAGTTCAAGGCAAAAAAAGACAATTAATTAGTACAAGAATGAAAAATGATGCAAGGATGGCTTGCAAAAGTGTAGGAAAATACAGTGAATGTTGTTGGTATAACTTACACTTAGCCGTATTTCCTCATCTCTTTCTTTTCTCATGCCTTTCATTTCTTTTATTTACACTTTCCTACTCAATTTCTTTTCCTTCATATTGTCTACCCTGAAAAGGAGCTTGTTTGGATGTGTAGCTTTAATTTCTCTTTTGATAAATTACTTTTTATCCAGCATAAGATAGGTTTCTATTCCCATGCAGAATAATTCCAGAAAGCAATATTCTTTGCTTCTAAAAATATAAAAGCAACCCTGTAAAATGTGATTTGCAAAGAGCTAAATGAGAATTTAGTTCATTCCCTATTTTTAAAAGTATCATCTCCATATTGTTCTTCTTCCTGTTTTCTTAGCATGAGGAAATATAAACATGAGATACTATCATCTTTTGTGCCACCCTATTCTACTGATGGATAAATTCATTTTGTTGTTTATTGTCACTGCTGTGTTATTAGCTGGTCTGGGGCTGGACTGCAAGACTGTCATTGTTATAAATAGAACTCTCTATTCTAGTTATTCTATTCTTCGAAGGACAAATGATTCATACCCACTTTTTTATACAAAAGACTGTTTTGTTTTCCACTGACTATTTTTTTATTTTATTAAACTTTAAAAACATTGCAATTAAAATGTTCTTTCTAATGTAAGTTATTGGTTCATAATGTTTTATAAATAATAATGCAACTGTCTCTTCCTCTCTCTCACACAAACACACACATACAAATATATAAGTATTAAATCTTTTTCTTCAATTTTGACATTATGATTCAATGTTTGAATAATGAATTAAACCTAGACCATATGGAATCATGCTGTTTGGTCTTGCCTCTTCTTTGGCATAAAGCAAATCTGACAGCTAAGAGTTAGTAAATTTTATTAAGCCAAACTTTTGGAGTCTTGGAGACCACAAGCATTTCTCCATGAGTACATAAATCTTTTTTGAAACAGTTGAAGCTCAATATATCTAAAGTTCTTTAAGGACTAGAGGATTCCAGATTATAGGAGATACAGTAATTAAATGTTAACATCTTCAACTCTTAACTGCCTTTGAGAAACCATTATCATTTTTTAAAACAAAAAATCAATGAATGTTGACAATTGCAAGCAATCTGAAATGGAGAATTGGAGTATCCCATATTGTCCAATCAATGACTTCAGACTTTAACAAACGTTAGATTTTTTTTTTACAACCTAAAGTCTTATTTAGTTGACCTTTTGGGAATCAAACAA